GGGGGGGAGGCGCCAGAAAAGGGGGGGGTGGGGGGGGGGGGGGGGGGGGAGAGGGGGGGGGGGGGGGGGGGGGAGAAGAAGGAAAAGGAAGCGGAGGGAACAGCGCTAGCAGCAAGGATAAAGCATGAGGAGCAGATGCTGTCTCTTTTTTACACCGGCCGGACAAAGAAAGGGGGGAAGGGGGGGGCAGCAAGGGACAGTAGTCTCCCGCTTGCAAAGGCAGCCCCCGGGTTACGGGGCAGCCACAGAGGCTCGCGCGAATCCTCACCAGGCGAATGAAGCCAAAGCCACGGTCACGATTGATGAAGACTTCGCTAGGCTCCCCGTAGCGCTCGAAGAGGCGCTTGAAATCTTCCTCGGTGATATCAGTAGGCAGATTCCCCACGAACAGCCGGCAGCGCTGCGTGTAGCTCTTCTCGCCAGGTTTGAGAAAGCTTTTTATATCGATGGTGAACCCAACCTCCTGCTCTTCATCTCCACCTTCTTTGCTCGGCACTAGCGCCATGGCCGCCGCTGCCTCACTCTCCGACTCTAGGCCCCGCAATCCCTTCAGGTTGCCGCCACCACCCCCCATCATGCCCAGCGGCGCCGCCGGGGAGCTATTCTCGATCCGCACTTGCTTCAAGTTCCTATTCGCTGCCATATTCAGAACTCGCTCCTTTCTCGCTGGTCTTCTCGGGGGACGCGGAGCCCGGTTCAGCAACCACCGCCTCCGACCCTCAGCCAATTCAAAATGGCGCCGCCGCCAACCTCGGCGAGTTGTAACGTCCCTGAGGAAAGCCCCGCCCACCGTCGCCCGCGCTGCCTTCGCCGCCACTGCTCCTGCTCGTTGTTGGGTGCGGGGGGGCCGCGCATGCGCCGTCCTGCGCGGCCGTGGGGCGCCCGAGTCCGTCCATGGGGGGTCGCTTCTGTCAGGCGGTGTTGTTCCCTTCCAGCTCCGGCATCACAAGCGAAGCTGCTTCAGACCGCGAGAGATCGGTCTTTGTGTCCGCAGAGACAGATACGTACCAGCGGGCTGCGCTGCCTGAGAGGATCAGCCGCCCAGAAGCTCCCTGCTAGCTCGGCTCCCTCGGAGGCTGACCCGCCCGCACGGAGAGCCGCCCCAAGGGCAACCATACTGGGTTAGGGTAGCGGTCTCAGAAGCGTTCAGGTCCTGCGGGCTCTGCGACGGCCCGTCCCCGGGCGGAAGAACCCTCTGCTGGGGTCCGCCCTGAGGGAAGGGCAGGCAGGCGGGGTGCCCTGGTGGGGCGTCTGGCCGCCGCGGGGGAGCGGGGCAGGCATAACGCCAGAGAGGCTGAGGCGGCTGCAGGGGAACAGCCTGGGGGAAGGGACGGCCGGGCGCGGCGGAGCGGCACGGGAGTCGAGAGGGCAGCGCGGTCCCGCAGGCAGCGCAGGAAGAGCGTTCGCCGAGTTGCAGATGTGGGAGGCAAATCGCGGGTGGAGAGACGCCTTGTTACGTGTGCTGCTCATGGAGCAATTTCTTACAGGGCAACAGCTTTCGTTAGAAAGGGGATGACTTTCTTCTGCGTGGTGTGAAGTCAAACGTTTCCTTCCTTGGGCACCCCTTCCTGTAGCTAGGACTACGTATCTCTCATCCGCAGCACAAGACTATGGTTTTCTCTCCTCCTCGCCTGCTAGGTGCCCAGTTGCTTGGTTTGATCTGTGTGCTTCAACCAGGAATTCAACTGGTGCGTGGTTTCTCAGACAAAGAGCTCATCAGTCTGCCTGCGGCCTCATAGAAAGCCTGATAATCAGTTCTCGGCTCTTATTACCATAGTAGCCTGAGTGCTTCAGGTGCCCCTGTAACTTTGCATCATGCAGGGGAACTCCTGGACAACAGAGCAAGACTTAAGGAGAAAATAACTATTACTTGTTTTATTAATACAACTGTAGCACTGAAAAAGTCCAATCTCATGTGGTTAATAGTTACTTCAGCTAGCGCATGGCAGGTACTGTTCTTTTGAAAAAGCGACGTAAAGCATGATACAAGAAAAAGTCAATTCTACAACAGGCCTGAATCCATTGCTCAGGGATTTCCATGCCTATTGGGGAGTATTTTAAGTTCCTCTCTCTTGTTTTTCCATTTGAGGCACAAGAAAGATCTCAGTCCCTTTCTTCCTATCTGTGCTTGTACCAAGATCTGGAGAAAACATGAGTTCCCAGACAGCATGAATTACTGCAACAGACCACCTGTTTCTGAAGCAGACTTGTGGGTGCAAGGCATCAAACTGAACCCAGATTTAAACCGCTGAAAATCAGAAAATACAGACGGTAGAGGAAGGGTATCTGCTCACAGCAAAGGCAGGAAGTCAGGCAGTGTAGGATGGTGATGGAGGTATTAGAGTAGCAGTATGGGATGCCTAAAGTTTATTCACCTTGACTGTCCAAAGAGCTATGGTTTGTGATATATTTAGGATTCAATAACAAGTGTTAAGACAAAAAAGGAACCAACTTAGAGCAAGCCAATAGCTTTTTAGAACTGATAAGCATGTAAAGGGAGTAGAATATATGTTAGAAATGATGTGACTATACGAAAGTTCAGTAGATGGGGAAAAAGGAGATGAATAGTAGTCTGCTTGTTAAGTTATTGCCAGTGCTGTGTAATAAATTTGCCATGGTTTTCAGACACAGCTTTCCAAATCAAGTTAGTAATAAAAGCTACAAACATTTAAATATACAACCATGATTTCCTGTGTACTATGAAATAGTCAACAGGAAAAGCAAGGAGTGTTTACAAATTCCATACTATTCTTACCTTTCCTTAGCCATAGCAATGTTTCAATAGTAATTGATAGTCCAGTAACATAAATCAATAACATTCCAACTTCCAGAAACAAGAAAATGATTAATATATCTGCTAAAAAAAGAGAAATATATATTTAATATGCTCATGCATCCATAGCTTACCTTCATTAGTCAGACTCATGGTACAACCATAATGCATATACTTGCACTGTTTTTAAACTTTGTTGAGCAGGAGCTTGTGGACATATATTTAGCTAACAGTCACAAGAGCATTCCAGACGTCTTTAGAAGGCCTTGAACAGAATAAACAAGAAGACAAAAAAAGAAAGATGCCAATTAGAAGAACACAGGTGTGCATTCCACAATAAAGGGAACTTGGCACAAAGAACCTCAGTTCGGCAGTTTATCTTGACCAATTAGACTGAGACAAGTTTCGGATGTTTTAGTTAGTATAACCAATTATGTCCTATGTTTATGCGCGTGTACAGTGTTGATATAAGCAATCATTAAGTGTAACTAGGCGCGTGGACAGCGCGTGAATAATGTGTGTAAGCAATAGTAAAATAGCTAAACGCATGTACAGATGCAACCAACGTATAAAATGATGTCTGATGCTCTAGTAAAGGGTCTTCAACTATGATCATATTGATCTGTCATTGAGTCCATGATTATGCTCCTGCAGGAGCTATTTGCACATGCCCTATAGTCAAACATTTTAGGGTGATGTACAAAAAGAACCTTATACCTGCTATGCTCACTTACTTCCTCACCTTCATTTACAATATATCGTTTCACATTTTACTCGTTCATCAGAACAACCCCAGACAGTTCATCTCCTACCTAACTGCCCAGAGTCTTTGTGGCTCGACGATTGCTACACCTTGCAACTGACACCAGTCAACAATAAAAATGTTTTGAAAGGAGAAAAAATTGAGTCCCTTGATGTTCTTGCTCCAATGCTTTCCTTTTGTTATAAACATCCACTTAAATTTTTATGACTTACTAATTGCAACTTGTATCACAGGAGGAGTTCTGCTAGACAATTCCAGTCGCTCTCTATAAGTTTGGTATTATTATATTTAATACTTTGAATGCAGTTTAACTACATGAAAGTAATTTCAGAAGAGTGGGGGAATAATAGTTATGACCACATAGTAATTTGTTTTCACTCTGTAATTCTTGAAGGTTTTTTTGGAAGCCTGAATTTATTCAACTTGTCATTCAAAAGGCCACAACAGACAACCCTAATTTTGTACTAAAAGTTTGTTTTGGCCTGGAATTTATTTTAAGACCTTAAAAAGGTCACAACTTCTTGTATTAGTAATATACTGCCTTTACATGTACTACCAGACTCCCTTTTCTGACTCATGTATAGCCTTGGATTATGATCCTGTAAATGGTTGTGTATTTAAATTTATTAGCATAAATACAATATTTTGCATATGCATGACTGTCTGTAGTACAATCACTATTCCCCTGAGGAAAAGAACATTTTAGTGGCAGAAAACAGGAGCAGAATTGTGAAAATCACCAGTATTTCTCATTTTGTCTGCTACAGAGGAAGGTGCTGTTTGGTATATGCAAAGTGTTAACACTATCAAGAAATTTGGGTGTATTTCCAAAACATGCACCACCCAGGCATGTGCCATAGACACAGTCAGAATCAACAGTTCTAGCTTTTAATTTTCTGTATCGCAGCATGACTTCCCTACCAAATATGAGGATCCTGCTTAAAATCAGGGAGGCGTCAGACCTTTAAAAGAAAGTCATGAGAGCTTTTTATGCTGCAGACTTGTAAATGCTACACATCTTGATCTGCAAATAAAAATCCCAAACTACTTGTATTTACCCTTGAACAATTTCAAAGTGATTCCTCAAATAACAGCACAACAGTGGTGACAGCTCTGAGTGCTAAAGTCAGCTTCTCAACAGAGCCAATTGTAGCTTACTGCTCAACACGACTCGACACCCAGGTTTATTTCTTTTTACTTCCTAGAATCTGCAATGAGTCACAGTTAGGATCAGTACTTGTAACTCAAGCTACAGTAGATCATGACAGAATATATCAGGGAGCACTAGAACTGAGAGGTAGATTAGCGCATGGAGGGGGATGCTCCCTTTGAGAGGAGGAGAAACAAGGGACGGCATGAAATTCTGCACTGAAAAAGGAGGGAATGGAATAGGCAGTGGTTGATGGCCTGAAGTTGGGATCCTATGCAGAAGTGCAAGGCCAGGGAACTGAGACACACCTCTGTGCATGACCTGACACAGGTGGGAGCTGCTGCTGCTTTTCATCTCTTGCCATTCAAGACAGCGTTTGCCTGCAGTATTGCTCATGGCAACATCTGGACAAATTAAGCTTGGGGTAGGTTTTGGTCTCCACTGATGAGCTTTTCTTACAAAGTTAAATTGGCTAAGAATATTAAAAACACTAGCTGTCATAGCTGTGCCAGCAGGCCTGATGGTATAAACATAAAGGTGTGGAGAAGAAAGTGCTTAATGCAATCTGAAGAAGTGATGCATACTTTGTAATTATCTGAGGATGACCTCATTATGCTACTACTCCAGCATGAAGAGTGCTTACAGGAGCATGTCATTGCAGTGCCATCTGGTGACAAATACTGGAATTATCACTAGCACTGTAATAGACCAAGTGAAAATAAAGATGGAAAACCTACAATAAAATTATCTCTCTGGTCCCAGCTGGACAGAATGACTTGGATTTTCTATTTTTAAACCTGGTGGGCAAGGTTTCTTTCTCTGTTCTCAATATTAACGTAATTCAACAAGATACATTCATTGTTTTTACATGGAGAGACATGTATATGAATCACATTTATAAAATAAGCTGTAAAACCTAACCTAGTATGGTTAGTAGTCACCTATATGCATGCTATATTAATATATTTTTTAATGTGAATGAAAACTCATATTTCAGAATTATCCGAGTATGAGAAGTCAGTGTTATTCTTTAAAACAACACTGGTCTCAAGGAAACAAGGACTGAAAATATAT